CACAGGTGGATAACAAAACAAAAAACGCTAGACTGGGACGAGATGGAACACGAAGGGAGAGATAGTAGTACTAGAACACGCAGCACGAAGGATGATTTATATAAACTGTCCGCCGTGGAGAGAGAACTCGGAAAGCAATGTGAATATTTGGGGTTTTAGTGGGGTGGTTTTCTGGCGAGAAGCAAAGGCGGAGGGGGGTAACAAGTATAATGGAAACAAGACAGAGATAAACCAGAGCTCCGACGACGACGACGGACGACATGAGAGGGACATGCATGGATTGAACGAAGAGAACGCGTGACGGGCGGATCAGGGTGGGGAGGAGGCGCCGGGGCGGAAGTGCACAACCGAGGGGCTGCTGCTCTCCGAGCCGTCCGCCGCGGGCGATTTCCATGGGCGGTCAAGTTCGAGGCTGGCGAGCGTGCCGTTGAGATCGTGCAGGACATCGTACTCCTGCCCCTCGCCGTCGCGATGGCCAGACGAGGGTCGAGACACCGGGATCCTCGTCCCCATCTGCGTGTTATCGAGGAACGACGGGTACCGCGACGCGCTGCCCGGACGCGTCACGGTCGGGGACACCTTAGTTGTCGGCGTGCTGCTGTTGCTGCTCGCTGTCGCGTTTGCCTTCATCTCCTGCTGCGTCTGCATTCCGAGACCCAGAGGGTAGTACGCCGGAGCGAACACCTTCACCGGACTGGGAAGCGCTTCCGGCCGCCCGTACGACAGGGACTCCCGGCGCTTTGAGTCGACGGCATGAGAGTTGGGATCAGGCGAGAAGGGAGAGAAGGTGGACACACGGGCGTCTGAGTCGTCGCGAGAAGCAAGTACAGCAGAACGCAGCTTCTCTTCGGAGTACTGCGACGCGGTGGGCTGGCTCTCAGGACCAAGCTGATCGAGGTAGCCCTGCATAGTAAAGCGCTGCAGCAGCTGAATGGCCTGCTCTTGCGTCATGCCACCAAAAGACTGCGGCAGCGCTGCAGGAGCCGCCGGGGGCGGTGTGATCTGAGGACCTTGGACCGCGGCAGCTTGCGCGGCCTGCGCGGCGGCCTGGGCAGCTTTGTCTGCACATATAGTCAGTATCAAATGTCATGACGATGTCAAGAAACATACACTGGCTGCGACCCCAGCTGAGACGGATGCGGCTGCCCCCGATGGGGAAGCCCTGCATCTTCTCGATGGCGTTCTCCGCGTCCGCCTTGCGCACGAACTGAACGAAGCCGCAGTGCTTGCCCACGGGCACCTTGACCTGCAGGACAATGTCAATGAATGTACGCTGCCCTAGACAGAATGACTTACGTAGTGAATGTCGCCGAACGGAGCGAAGAAGGTTCGCAGGGTGTCTTCAGATATGAGGGGAGATAGGCCGCCAACAAATACCGTCGTGTTGTACGGGTCGGTGGACGTGAGCTGCTCGCCGTTGGGCCCGATGAGGTTGCCCAAGATGGCTCGCGCCTGCGCGTGATGCTTCCACGACTCCTCCGAGATCGTGAAGCGCTGCAGGCTGTCTGTAATGCCCCGCGTCGGGTCCTGCTGACCGTAGGTCGTATTTCCCGAGCGGTCGCCAGCGTTGTACTGCTGCGCCAATTGCGCAAACACGTTCGACGGGTTCAGCATGTCGCCCGAGCCGTATGACGTCACCGACGTGCTCGTGGATGCGAGCGAGTCGAGCGAGTTCGAGCCTCCGACTGAGCCAGAGCTGGCCGTGCTGGTGCTCTTGAGCGAGCCCGACGAGGTAGCGCTCGCCATCGGGGCAGAGACGCTCTTGGTGGGAGGGGGTAGCGGCAGGGCGACGGTGACGGGTTGTTGAGGCTGCTGTTCCATGCCAGAGAAAGGTGGGTGTAGGTCAAATGGTCCTTGTGCGCCAGGTGGAGGGGGCGGGCCCTGGGGCTGCTTGTTCTTCGCAGTTGCGGGGGAGATGCGCACTGTGTACATCGTCAGCGGATGCGGGGCAGAAGAGTCTGAATGTACGCACTGGGGCGGGAAAGGCAGTATAGGCCGTGCATCTCTATCAATGCCCTCTGCTGATCAGCCTCATCGGTAAATCTGAGCTCGCCATTAGTATTTGAGGCGCATATATGCGGTCAAAAACGCACCTAACGAATCCGTAGCCCCGCGAGACGCCCGTGACGGGGTCGAGCATGATCTTGGCACTCTTGCAGCTGAGGAAGGGCCTGATGAACTTGGGCTCGCGATCGTTGCGCAGCCCGAGGACGGGGTTGCGGAAGACGGCGACGAGATCCGAGTTGGAGGTCTCTGGGGCGAGGTCGCCGACAAAGATGCTGTACTCCTTCGGGTACTGGTTCTGAACGCCTGCGTTCACTGCGCTGAAGCTGTTGCCGACGGGCGAGGTGGCGGGCATGCCCGCGGCCCAGTTCATGACGAACGCCTTGGGCGAGTTGGGCATGGTGACTGGGCCGCCGCTGCCGTTGCTGTTGACCTGGGCGAGCACGCTCGCTGCGTGCGCGGGGGAGGGAAAGGTGAGGAAGCAGTAGCCGGGGTTGTTGGCCTGCTGGCCTGTGGCGGGGTCTGGCTGCGGGTGCGGGACCTTGATGCTGACTGGGTCCCAGCCCATGAGGTTGCAGACCTGCTTTGCGTACTCTTCGTCCATCCAGGGCTCGAGATCACCCCAGATGAGGGTGGACTTGGAGGCTGCGGAGTTGGGCGGGGGCTGGCCTGGGCGGAAGGCGGTGGTTGCGCTGTCGGCGGAGAACGGGTTCTGGGGCAGCGGGTGGGACGCGCGCGGCTGCGGCAGATTCGGATGATGGTGGTTGAACGCAAACGGCGGCTGCCCGCCAAACCCTCCCGCCCCAGCGCCCGCGTTCAGATTGCCTCTGTTTGGTCCCGCGCCTCCCGTTACGTCGCTCAGGGGTCCGAGCCCGGCGTACAGCTCCTCCAGGCTGCCGTACCCGAGCCCGCCGCCTCCGCCGCCGCCGCCGCCGCGTGCGCCGGGGCCAGGCATGAGACCAGGACCGGGACCAGGACCTCCGCCCATCGGGTGCCCGCCGCCACCGTGGCCTTGATGGCCAGTGCGGCGGTCACCAGGCATGGACATCCCGCCGCCCCAGCCGCCGTAGATCTGCTCGCGCGTCTCCTCCCGCGAGAGCAGCCCCGACGCGAGGTCGAACCCGTGCGCATCGTTGCGCGACATGTCGTGTCCCGGGCGATGCATCGAATATGCTATTGTAAGCTGGACGTGTCAAGATCGAAACCGAGCCGCCGCAAAGGGGTCGTTGTGGGTGGGCCGGATGCGTGTGCTGGATACGCTTTGCTTGGTGCGCGAGCGGGGTGCTGACAGCGGCGTCGGACCTTTGCGGGTGCGGACGAGCGCGAGCAGAGAAATCGATAGCGAGAAGAGAGAAAACCGGAGAGTAAAGCGACGTGGAACAAGCGACGAACTGATGCGCAAACGACGATTATCGACTACAGAGCAACCAAGAAAGAGAAGGGGGCAGGCGACAGCGGATAGCGAAGCGGTGGGCGACGGATCGTGGCGTGCACCGACGTCCTCAGTGCGTGGCGGGGCGTGGACGAGGGCGTGGGAGGGGGAGAAACAACAACTCAAACCACGCGCACAAATCCACACGTATATACTCCCGTTTCAAATTTTCCGGAAAAACAGTTCCTCGGCCGACACCGGCTGATGACTTGACAATACGCGCTTGCTCTCCTTGTTCTCTCTTTCTAGCCTTATATACTCTGCTCCCAGCACCCTCATACATGCAATCCAACTCCCCTTTGTTCTCCTTTTCCAGCGACACCTTTGTTACTAAGCCGCCGACTCCCCGATTCAACCCACAACAACCGGAGCCGCCGGACCTTCCCAGCATCAGATCGTGCTCAAACGACTCACTCTGGCGCCAACGCGATGAAGCGCGGAATGTTCAACTCTCGCCGTAAATCGTGGTTCAAAACTCTCAGTTGTGGCGTCCCGAGGCGAGCGGAGGGTCGCTCGATGGAAGAGACCCGCCGGATTGAGTGGCTGAGTCGACCATCGTCACGCAGCCCACTCTCGCTTTACCATTGTTCTCTCGATCTGTCCCATGCTGGCCATCTACCAGCCTCCGTCCGCCCGTCTGCTAACATGTGCCGACGACGCTAGCCCTTATTGTCTCCCTCATGGGCGATGCGGCATCCAGTCATTCCACGATGGGCATCCAATCGCTCCGCGCTGCGACACCCAGTCGCTCCGAGATGCGGTGTGTATTCATCTGACGCCGTGATTCATTCGACGCGGTGGCGATTCATCCATTGAACGCGCGCCACCGCAATGCTACGGGGAGACTAATACCACCATGTTCCTGCAACATAGCGCCTCCCATTGTTCGCCAACTCGAGTATACCGACGGTCAGTCTCGCATACCAATGGTCAGTCTCGGCGCATACCGACGGCCAGTTGAGTCACTCATTGTTCGCCCGACGGGAGTCGAGTTGAAGATCGCATATCGAACATTGACGTTGAAGATCGCATGTTGCAACCAACAAGTCAAACCCTGTCGGGCTATATGCAGACCGCCAGTTGACGATGACTCGATCTGACTCCATCCCTCGTCCTTTGGGGCAACAGATACGCGGCTCGACGAAGACTCCAGCGCGCCAACAAAACTTCCCGCTACCTTGCCCGTTGCCCTTCTCGTGCTGCTACCTTTCTGACGACCATTGAAAATCCAACAACGATGCTCGTGAGCGACGCAGGCTTTAGCGAGGACCTGCGACTCCCCGACTGGCCACTATGTATATCGATATCTGATCAAAGGCCCAGCTTCGCTGGCTCAATGTCCACCACTGTTAGCAGCGCGAGCGAGACCTAGCTCTGTTAGCGGTTCGAGACCCCACTGGCAGCTGTATATGACTGGCAGCACCTAGCGGATCGCTATATGAAGCCTTGATAGACAATCCTGCATACTTATCTCGGGCGAAGTTCAACCGCGACTGTGACAAGATCGCTCCACTTGTGCTGCATGTTGTTCCGGACTCAAAGGGTACACCTCCATGGCTATTATGGCCTCTTGGCGCAATGGTAGCGCGTTGGGCTTCGATGCCTAACGGATACCCAAAGGTTGCAGGTTCGAGTCCTGCAGTGGTCATTCGCCTGATGTGTTGTCAGTCTTTTTGGCTTCCTCTCTGTGCGTGTAAGTATATCATCTGCCCATGCCCGCGCCACTGCCGCCAGCTGCATATGATGAGGCCGAGCGATATGAACGCCAAAGACCTTCATCGATTCATCCCTTGCTTCCTTTTCCTACGCAATACTGCGTGAAATCGGAAGACGAGACACGGACTGCAGAAGGTGTTCAGCTAGTCACGCAGGTCCGAATGTACGCTATGCCCGCGAAGATTGATTGCTAAGTATACTGTACAATGCCTTCGAGGCATACCAGCAAGTATATGAAACCCAAATAGTGCTAAGCGAGTTCAATACGGTCTGAACTTCCTCGACGCCTTGAGCTTCTCGATCTTCTCCTTGTCCTCCTCCCATTTCCGCTTGAGATCTATGAGCTCTGCAGAATACATCAGCAACAGGTTCCTTGCACCAGAGCAAACGCCAACACATACCCTTCCGCTGGCGCTCCGCCTTCTCGAAAGCGTAGAAGCCCGCCTTGTCCTTCGGCGCCTTCTTTTTCCGCCCCGGATTCGAGCGCGCCTCGCCCGTCTGCTGAAACTTCTTCGTAGCGACGCCGACACCGCCTCCGAGCGTCTGCCCGTACGCGCCGCCGCGGGTGACCAGCGTGAACCCATCCTCGTCCACAATCGCCTCGCCCTTGCGGTACTTGCTCTTCCGCCGCGCGCGCGCCTGCTCGAACTCGTACAGGTCCATGTACGTGTCCGCGTGCGCGCGCACGGCGTCGAGTGGCGGTCGGAGCGCGTCGTATTGTGCCGTGTAGTGCGCAAGGCCGGTGGGGGCGTCGGGGTCCGTGGGCCAGGGGCGCGGGGAGGAGGGTGGGGAGAGCGCGCGTTCGAGGGAGGATGCATCGAGGAAGACGACGTGCGCGGAGCGACCCGACAGACCGAGTTTGCGTAGAGGAGGCTTGGGAAGGGGCGCGACGGTGGGAGGTTGCGGTTTCTTGTCCTTTCGTCGCCGCTTGCGCGGGCGCTCGTCTGCATCTGCTTCTTCTTGTGCTGCCTCATCCCCCTCACTCATCTCCTCATCCTCGCTGTCGCTGCTCACTGGTTCCTCCTCCTGAGTCAAGTCAAAGTCGAGGACGACCTTCTCGACGGTACCGCTGGGCTTGAAGAAGGTGATGATCTCACGATCGGTGGCGTCGGGGGGAACGTTGGCGAGGAAGAGTGTGCGGCCTGCAGGGAGCGCGTCATCCTGCTGCTTTTTGGGCGGCTGGTGCGCGCGAGCGTAGATGTAGTGCGTCGCCGATTTGGTGTACGCGACTGGGAGGACAGTGAAGCCCGCAATATGCGTCGGCGCGGACACCATGGTGGAAGGAAAAGAGTTGATCGAAACGGCCCGGCTATCCGAAGCCTGCCAGTGCTTGACACTTTTCACTTGAGTTGTACTTGTGTCCTCGCCCACCAAAGCTGCGAAGTGATTTCTGCTGTGGTATGAATATCTGATGTTACATTCCGCGACGACACGGGAGCAGCCAGGTAGCTAATAGTGTATAAATACTACGTATTGTATGTAAGAGACTGAGTAGAGGTTCACGCCTTCAAATCCACCACAGGCGGCGTCGGCGACGGATGTTGCGGTTGTGGCGCGTGCAATGGTGGCTCTGGCGAAGGCCGTTGCGGAGAGGCTACTTGTGCTGGTATTGATGGTTTCTTTTCCACAGCCGGCGGAGTGGTGGGAGTCAGAAGCGCGGGGGCAGACGCCGACATGTCCTCGGGCATGGACAGCGAAGGCGCAGTCTCTACTCCGTTCACAGCATGGACATGCCCATTCGTGACCACTGGCGACGCCTCGCGCTTCATCTCTGATGGCACTACCACCAAGCTCTCCGCCAAACGCCCCTTGCCCCGACCCGCTGCCACGCTGCGCACGATGCGTGGGCCCGCGAAAGCTGGTCGTGGTGCAAGCAGCGCCACAGGCAGCGGCTCCGTCTCTTCCTTCTTCACCTCCACGAACCCATCTGACTCTCCCTCCGGTCCTCCAATGCCATTCGCAAGCTCCTTCTGGTTCTCCTTCCCCTCCCCCTCCGTCTGTGGCGGCGGTTTCGGCTTGAGCGTTTCCTCCGAATAATTCCGCCCATTCGCACTCGCGCTATTGTATGGCGGCCTCGGGAGCACGACGCGCTCGTAGTAGAGCATGAACACCGAGCGCTGCTCTGAGAGCACTTCCTCCAACCCGCATGGCGCGACAGCGTCGTCCGATATGCGCAGCCAACCACGTCCAGTTCCAGGGCCGGCTGGCGGCGCGCCCTCCCACTCATAGTCGCTGGCATCGCGCGAAGCCTCCCCTGTCGCCGCGAATGCCAGGCTGCGCGCGCGCGGTGGTCCGCGCCCCGCAGGTACGCGTCGGTAGCACACAAAGTGCCCAAAGGAATGCGCCCCGTAGTGGCATACGGCGGAGGCGAGCCGATACAATGTGCGTGCAGACGCGTATGATGCAGGAGTGGGTGTCGCCCCACGAGATGGGCCCGTGGAGGAAGGTGTGGATATTTGTTCTGTCGGTGAGAGCGAGAGGCTGCCAGATGTGGTGAATGGTGTGAGGTCTAGCATCTCTGGGAAGGCGATTCGCATAGGGTTCTTCGCAGCACCGCCGTAGCCGAAATGGACCGAACGATTCATGTGCAATACGAGAACTGGCGGTGGCTATAACACTGGAGTGAGAACAATGTTGCTGACTACAAAGATACGACACGCACCCGCGCCACCATAGCCTGCTTTGTGGAAGCATGGCTTATTGCTCTGTCCAATGTAACGTCCGGCAAGTCGTCTTCAATGCGGCCCTCTTCCAATGCTGTTCGAACGAGGGCCTCCTGCCTTCGTGTCTCCTTCAATCGCTTCTTCCTCTTGGAGATCTTCTCGCCCTGCGTTGCCTCGTCGGCGGGCTCTTCCACCTCCCGTACAAGTCGTGCATGGGTCGCCTTGAGGGAACACTTGCGGCAGACGCAGTCGCGCAGCACCTCGAGCCGCGTATAGTCTTCCAGCAGCACCTCGAGGAAGCAGCCGTCCGATCGCATGGGGAGCGCCAGCTGCCAGCTGTCGAAGCCAAAGTGCATGACGGCTTCTGTGTACCCACAGACTACACAACTGCGCCGGTTCGCGGTCAACCCGTCAAAGACGCTCTTGCCAATGTCACGCGAGAACTCGGGTGGCAACACGGGCGAAAGGCCACCGAGCCCACGATCGCGGTAGCTCTCCTTATCCACCGCCTGGATCTCGTCCTTTATGCATTCGGACACGATTTGGAACAGCTCCTGCGCGTCTTGGTGCTCGCGGGAATTGATCAGCGAGTTGGGGCGGCCGGCGGTCGCTTTGCCGAGGACCTGGATGATCTGCATCGGGCGGAGGGTGGTATACCGCCTATGTGGAGTGTTTAGCACTTGAGGGGAGGGGGTCAGGCGTGCGTGTGTGGCCGGTGTGTGACGCACATGTCAGCAGCTCGCGTAGGGCGTCGACCACGGGCGTCGCGACATCGAGCGCCTCTGCTTTTGCAGCGATCATGTCGAGGTGAGGTAGTAAATAGGAGAGCGAGGCCATCGCCTGTGAGGGGCGTCAGGGCAAGGTGCGGGGCAGTATACGCAGAACTACGCACCTGCAGCGTCGAGTTCATGTAGCAGTATGTGCCGGAAATATTGACCAGCCCAGGGAAGTGGCCATCCAGAGCGCCTTCCGTCTCTACAGGTCTGCGTCAGCCGCATGCTAGCTGGGTCCGCGGCGCCACGCACCACTCGCTGCCGCGTCGCTGGCTGTCGAGCTCCGCCTCCTTCCCCGCGTCTTGTGTTTCCGGCGCACTCCGCGCTCGCTGCTGCCCGAGGACGGCCCGCTGCCCCAGTTCCAGGGCATGAGGCTCTCGAAGACCATGGCGATATAGCTCGATAGCGCGAGCCAGCGAACGCGCGCGACAACGACAAAGAGCAGGGGAAAGAGGACAACGACGGCGAGCGGGAAGAGTTGCTGGAAGGCGTCGGTCTTGGCAACGGCGAGCAACCAAGCGCGGCTGTCGTCGGAGAGAAAGCTCATATACGGCTCATAAGTGACCGCCCAAGCACGAGGCGCGGAGGAGCGCGCCGCCCCGGATCTTTGTTTGTCGGTATTTGTCACGGTCGAGGTCTTTGTATCTTCACATATTAGCGATTAACAACAGGAGGAACGTATGCTACAGCTATAAGTACTGACAGTCTCTGATCAGAGTACAGAACACGAGAAGCAATCAATAGATATGCAGAATTAGCACCGGAGCACCGTCGGCAGTGCCCCAGGAAGTAAAGTATCGTCGGAGAGTCCAATCCAGATTGTTCCTCCTTCATTCGTGTATGTATGAAGCCAGGCGCCAGCACCGTTCACATCGCCATCCAGGCCTTCCGCCATACTTCCGGAGTCTCCGCATCCTCCACGATTTGTGGCCGTACAACACGTTCCGGGTTCCCCGAGATCGACGCGACGTACGCAGCGACGGCAGACAGCACCAAGTGCGCAGGCGCAGGATCAACGGAGCCCACGGCGCTCTTGCCCCGGGGCGCGCAGACGACCACACGAGCTGCGTCCGCGACATGCCCGCGCACTGGTGTCGGCGGCGGACATGCCGCGCTATGGTAGGGCAGCGCGAGCGCTAGGAAATCCGCAATGAGCCCGCGCTGCGCGCGCGAGACGTGGGTCGAGCGTTCGGGGACGCGCACAGTCAGGATGTGGACGTCCAAGTCGGCGTCGGTGTGCAACGTCGCGCCGCGTTCCGCCGCGCGGACGACCTTGACGACGTGCGTGGGCGCGGGGCCATCGACGTAGGGACCGGGAATTCGAGTGGATGAGCTTTCGAGGTCGTGCAAGCCGATGTAGAGGTATGGCATGAGTTCGTGGGCATGATAGAGGGGCGCGGGAGTGGTTGCGGGGGATGGGAGGCTACCGGACGCGATCGGTGCGCGGGTCGCGGTTGGTGTGCGGCTGTGGCCAAGCCTGCGGCGCGTCGTGTTGC